CATCAGATGCGAAAGTCATTTTTACATTGACTGTTTTCGAAAAATGCACAAAAAGTGTGATTTTTAAGGAGAGAATTGAACTTATTAGTAGTTTTCAGAAATTAGCAATGCTTTTCTTAGCCCACTTTGTGTATAGTGTTATTTGGTGATTGCAAACCCACTAAATACAAAAAAACTCCAAGTAAAACTAATAATCGAGAAAAACAACCGATGAGAAGGATGCGATCCACCGTTGAGCCGCGCTGTCCCACGCGACCAAAAAACCGTGGCTCACCGTTGAGCCGCGCTGTCGTCAAAGGGTTAAGAAGATCAGGCAAATCGCCAGATATCCTAGTCCTATCGGCCAGTTGCCTTCGCAACCCTTTTCTTGACTTCAGAGTGCTCAAAAAGAACCAGCCGTCCTCCATGGCAGGCGAAACCGGACTAACTGGCAGCTTACTCGCACAAGCTCCTCCCCCTCCACCCGCGCTTTCCCACGGTTAGAGAAGCTAGATCAAGCGCGGAGCGGGGAGAGAGCACAATACGAGGACGTCAGGCAGTCTGTCTGCGCCCTCTCCGCGGATCGATACTGGCCGGGCCCCTGCCCGATCAATATCGATCCGCTCACAAACGGATAGCCCCAAAAAGGAGATACCAAAACACCCATAACGAAATAAGGCACAATACATGGCGAAATAACATACGAGGGTAAACACGTGATAAACATGGAAATAACATGGCAAATAAAGCAAAATATATACAACTATTTTACACCCAATAAAAGAAGGCTGAGATTTTACAAGTTGCCAAAAACGCCGCTCTTGAATGGGCTATCGGGTTGACAGTGAAATCGCGCTAGCTACAGACAATTATAAGCAGACGTCCGAACTTGCGAATCTATGCAAAGAAGAGGTAAAAGGATCTGAACGAGAGAAGAGCAGTAGTCTTGACCGAAATTACCGAGTGAGGTCGTGAGAGGATTTCGCAAACTCGTTGGAGATTTGCCAATTGTAAGAGCAAAATGACTGGCCTTTGTCGTTCTGACGGAACAGCTACCTCATTTCGAACGACTATGAAGAAGTTCACCTACGATCTAACTGACCTTTTCGACAGCCACGTCTATCTACATTTCAGGCAACGCGGATAGGTCATTCTTCAGTTTTCCCTCCCGAAATTCGGCATGCCATCACGTCGATTAGGAAATGTACGGTGCCCGATCCCGATAGGATTAAACCAGAACATCTGAAGAGTCTTCCACCAGATGTCGTCAAAACTCTGGCTAGACTCTTCACGCGGTACCTATCGAAATGTAGAACGCCGTTGTCATGGAAAACTAGCAGGACTGAGTCGTCTCATGAGAAAGTAGATCAAAACTACATTGGCAACTATCGCCATCTGATCTGTCTGCTATCTGTAATCTATTTACAAAAGCATTACACAAGCTATCCTCAACAAACGTGCCAGAACACCGGATTTGAACAGTCATGTGAGCAAGAACGGTTCCGAAAGGGTTAATCGAGTCTGATCGTAGCTGTTTGGTCACAAAACTCAGTGAAGTTAAGCGAGAGTACAGGAACGCTCATGTGTTGTATTCATCGACATTAAGAAGGCCCTTGATATTGACGAGAAAGAAGCGGTAGTTGGAGCTTTAGGAACCAGAGTGTTTCTTTTTCATATATAAGTTTACTTCGTGAGCTCTGCACAATTTCACGATCAGTACTTCGCCATTTTATAAGGAAGTCATAGTTGAATTGAACAGAGAGTCTCGGCAGGTCGCTGTTTAGCAATTGGCCTCATCGACGAATTCGATAAGCTCTCATGCAGTTCTTGTGGATCGCTGAGGGCTGCCTTCACCTCGCTGATCCGTGTAAAAAACGGAAGCTTCCTTCTCTATTGAGTCTTCCTTTGACTGGACTTCTTTTTCTGANTCGCCATTTTATAAGGAAGTCATAGTTGAATTGAACAGAGAGTCTCGGCAGGTCGCTGTTTAGCAATTGGCCTCATCGACGAATTCGATAAGCCCAGCTCTCATGCAGTTCTTGTGGATCGCTGAGGGCTGCTTTCACCTCGCTGATCCGTGAAAAAAACGGAAGCTTCCTTCTCTATTGAGTCTTCCTTTGACTGGACTTCTTTTTCTGAAGCGGCTCATGACCATTTTTGCTGTCCTCGTTGAAATCAACAAATTTCACGATGTGAATACGCCGTTGTAGTCGTCCCGGAGCCTACGGTATCTCCGTAATGTTAAAGGCACTACCTTTGTATCTATGCAGATTGCAAAGAACCTCTGCAACCAATTAGTACGAGGAGAAGAAAAATGAAGAAAAAGATGAGTACAAAGTAGTAGAAAAGATGAAAAAAAGAAGGATGTAAGAAAAAGTAGCGCATTTGTTGGGATTGACCAATGATCAACCGAGGACTTTTTCGTCCCGAAAGTTTTTGAAATTCGCTCAACATATTTTGGAGACGCTCTGTCCCTGCATAACATAATGCACATGAAAAAAGAAGGGTAGTCGTTATGTCAAAATCTCAAATGGGGCATTGTGGAGAACGGTGTTCGCTACTTATCTTGGCGACTACGGCTGCTCCGTGTCTTCCACATTGACCATGAAAAGTAGAGAATACTGGCAGCTGTTACGGTCGTTCAGTGGTAGAGATCTATCGGACCCCTCGAGTGATACATGCTTGGATTATACACGGTAGCAATCATTCCAGATGTTACAGTACTGACGAATTCCTCTTTTTTACCAAAGAGTTTCGGGAGATTTATCTTCAGTGGAAATATGAAAGACCCTGCTCAATTTCTTTCGTGAGCTAATTCAGTGTGCTGCTAGCGTTATACGCACTTGTCTGTGTTCTCAGGAGGTCATTGTGTACGCTTGCGGTTCGAGTATACTCTCCCAACTTGCGAGCTGATCGGCTTTCATTGCTGGAAGCTTCTGTTAGCCTTGTTATCAGCATTTAGATGAGTTCCGCAGCTTCACTTATTGCATCTGTAAATTTCAGCTCATTTTCGAGTCTCTTCATTTCTTGGAAGGTAACCTTTTGATCATCTTTGTTTTTCGTGCTGTCATAGTCCTCTTTCATTTTGTCTATGAGCAACTGCAGACTTTTTCTCCCAGACTCAATGTTCTACGCTACCTCTGATTAAGTCGATGGC